ATGTATGGTATGTATGGTATGTATGTGTGTATGTACGTAATGTATGTATGTATGTATGTACGTACGTTTCAAGTGTGCCGTTAGACCCGACTGGAAATACAGAGGATGCGTTGTGTTGATTGTCATGTTTACTGCTGGTGATGCTGTAGTGATGATTATCATCAGGATGATGATGATGATAAGCATGATGAGGAACATGATAACATGATGTTGAAATCGATGATGGTGATGACGATGATGATGGTCCTGATGAGTATGATGATGAAAGAAACTGATGATGGTGGTGTTCATCATTGTTGCTCATCATGTTCATCATCGCTCTTCTTTTTTATACACGTTTCAAGTGTGCCGTTAGACCCGACTGGAAATGCAGATGATGCGTTGAAAATGATGATGATGATGATGAACATGTAGATGAAAAAGGAGAGCGATGATGAACATGGTGAGGAACATGATGATGCAAATGATGATGATGATGAAAATGATGATGATGATGACTATGAACGTGATGAAGAAGAGTACCACCATCATCACTTTCATCAACATGATGATGAACATCATCGTCATATCATGTTCATCATCATCTTCATCATCATCATTTGCATCATCATGTTCTTCATCATGTTCATCATCGCTCTTCTTTTTCATATACGTTTCAAGTGTGATAACTGCTGGCGATGCTGAGAACGCGTAGGAATCAACATGATGATGGCTTCATCATCCTGTTTCTAGAAATGCAGAGGATGCGTTGTGTAGTGATGCTGAGGATGTGCAGTGATGATTATCATCAGGATAATGATGATGATGATGACCATCATCAACGCATCCTCTGGGTCTAACGGCACACTTGAAACGTACATGAAAAAGAAGAGCGATGATGAACATGATGATGAGCACCATAATGATGAAAATGATGATGATGAACATGATGATGAACATGAACATGAACATGATGAAGAAGAGCGCCATCATTACTTTCATCATCATAATGATTCAGGATCATAATGACGAACATGATGAAGAAGAACGCCACCATCATCACTTTCATCATCATAATGATCAGGATCATCAACATCATCATCATTTTAATCATCTTGAAACGCATATGAAAGATGAACATGATGAGGAGCATGATGATGCAAATGATGATGATGATGAACGTGACGATGATGATGATGAAACTGATGATAATGAACATGAACATGATGAAGAAGAACACCACCATCATCATTTTCATCATCATGTTCATCATGTTCATCATCCATCATCATTTTCATCTTCATGTTCATCATCCTGATGATAATCATCACTACACATCCTCAGAATCAGCAGTTCACGTCATCACTACGCACAGCTAGTTATCATGACAACGCATCATTTGCATCTCCAGTCAGGTCTAACGGCACACTTGAAGCGTATATGAAAAAAGAGCGCCACGGTAATGATAATCCGGATGCTGTGAACCATCACCCAACATCAGTGGTGATGATAATCATCACTAAGACAAGGACAAAGACAAGCCCTTCCCATGCGCCTCCCCTTTGGAGAAAGGGGTCGGCGGATTAATCATTGGTTTGTTGGCCTGGGATGTGAGTAGTCATTTGTCTTCTAGGATCTCCGCCTTCGGATGCATCAATAATTTCCGTTGTACGCGCTCGGCTGTTGTTATCAGGGTGAATTGGACATTCTGTTGCTCCACTGGGTGTGAACAGTGCTTTACGAGGCGTAATGCGCACACGGGTGAGCTGTTTCCTCCTTCGTATTGGATGACTTGGATGCACAAACAGTCTCACTCTTGGATGATTCCCAGGAGGGAAACTTGATGCTGTTGTCATCATCGTAGACGTAGTTGGTAAGTTGAATTGACTGGAAGCATCGATTTCTCATCTCAACTGATGTGCAATTCCTATTTGTTTGTCAACTTCAACACCTGTGCCAATACCTGCTACGCATCTCCCATCTCTCATCTCCTCACAAACCTTGGCCAATACCTAACATACTCCTTGGTCAATGCCACGCTGTCTGCCAAAACAACTAATTTTCCAGAACGAAATCTGTTCTGCACAAGACCTGCTAAGAAGCATGCAATCCACTACTTCAATATACAAGGCTTAGCGTGGATTTCTAAAACATGTTCTGAAAAACTCATTGTCTAATGTTCATATGCTGCGCTATCAACTGTATTCACTGCACACAAGTCCAAAATAATACTAAGGTGCACAACCAAACAGGAATGACTGAAAGCAAACACTTTAAAGCGCTTTCGGATCTAAGTTTCAAGATTCAAGATTCTCAGGACTAGATTTTGAATCTTGAATCCAGTATGGAGCCACCAAAACGCGTTAAAGCGCTTTCATCCAGGTAGCTCATGGGAATCTTGAATCTTAAATCTTGGATCCAAAAGTGCTTTGAAGCGCTTTAAAGCGGCATAGTTAGATGGTCAAAACTGAGGATTCTCTTGGGGTGTTTTCCTCGTCTAGGTGTGCTTTCTCACGTGCAGGCTGAACCAGCGCTTGGCCTCAGACCCTGAGCTGGAAGCGCGGGCTCGAGAAGCCGTCCAGGCCCCGTCGTGTCACGCGTACGTTCTGACGCGCTGACAGTGCGATGCGCAGGTCGGGGTGCACTGGGAGACGGAGGCGGGAAGTTTTCGTCGCGAAGTCGGAAGCGCGACCTCTGCCAGGTTTCACAGGTCGCGCATCAAGTTTGCCAAGCCCGGGACTGACTTGGCTTTGCGCTTCGCGCTCACGCTCAAGCAGAGGTCTTTTGCGGCGCGCTGCCAGTGGGCTATTTGAAGGCAGTGAAAGCCAACGAGTGGTCCACGTTCGCAAAGGCCAGGCCTTGGAGGTGTTTGTTGTTTTTCTCAACAGTCTGTGCGGCCGCAAGCTTCGTTTTCACAAAGCGTCTTGTGTCTATAGCATAGTTTCTTAGTCTAGATGACAGCGCTTGAGGCGGCCAGCCTGCATGAAGTCATGCGTCTCTGAGTCTTCCAGCTTGTATCGCTGCTAGGTGCTGCTGCCATTTTTGCCACCTGCGGGGTGTCCACTGTCTACCTGCCTGATACTTGCATCGAAGCCTTTGCGCCATCCTGGTCCGGGGACGGCTTGTTGCTATTTGTGTGGCCCTCGGCGGGTCGTAGCTTTTGCGGGAATCTGTCCTGGTGCTAGTCTCGCCGTGCGTCACTGTGATGCCTCTGCCTTGCCCTGCGTCGGTGCGTTGGTAGCTGCCTGCGTCGTGGCGATGCTTGCGTCGTGGTGCTGTTTGCATCAGTGATGCCACGCACAGCACTCCCACCTCATCATTGCGGTTCTGATTGAGTCAATCTCTCATCAAGTTCGAACAAATCAAGACACACCCTTCGAGCACGGAGGAGCACAGCTATGACTGAGTGTTGTGTTTCGAGGTTTGGGCATAGTGGTACCTACACTGATTTTGACACGTGCAACGATTGGCGGTCTCAATTCCGTGCTGGGGCGCGGCAGGGCCAACCCTGCCTACCCCACCTGTCTACCCCCATGATACTGCCTGCGCAAGCACAACGCCTGCAAGGCAGCTGTCAGCAGAAGAGACACGCAACGCTGAGTACGTATCAGACATCTTGGGCTGGAACATTTGATGTCAAAGCTGACGGCCACATGCCGCATGCACCATATCGCAACTGCCAGAATCACCGAAAGCAACCTGTCTCCCTTTGCTTGCTGTTTAACTTTCAGCTCGACACAGTCCTCATTTCTCATGCATCTGGCAAGCAAGACCATGTTAATCATTTTAGGCTCTCATTCCAACATTCAAACCCTCGCCGGATGTTTACACTTCCGACTTCAGATTTGTTTCCTTTCTCACTTCCTTTTCTGGACTTTTTTGTTGGAGTTCCGTTGCAGGTAGTCCTGCAGGCCGCCTTCGAAGCCACGCTGACGGTGGCTTCGTGCCTTGCCGCCCGCAGGGGCACCAGGATCAAGGAGCGCGACGGGAAGCGGGATGGCACGGGACGGCACGGGACGGCACGGGACGACCATATTTTGCCATATCATGCCTTGCAGGTGTTCTTAACTGCCCTTGGGGCTGGATCGCTGAGCAACCGGGTGACCTGGATTGCAGGCGCAGTCACTAGACTGTTCTTTTAGGCTCGAAACGCTCGGCTCGTGAGGTGCCTTGGAGCGTGCGCTGGAGGGCTTCTGCTCGGAGCCGCTGGATGTGGCGCTGGTGCACTTCGCCGGAGCCCTGCCAGACTTCGACCGCCTGGAGGCGAGAGCGAGCTGAGAACCTTGGAACGTGTCTGTTGCGTAGGCTGGCAGGCGCTCGACACCTCGGCTCAGGCACTCATTCGGCACTCGGCACTCGCTGCATGTTGGAAGAGGAAAACGGAAAACGCATTGGTTTAGATATTTTAAATTAAACGGATTTCCTCGTTTGTGAGCTTTGCACTTCAGGCCCGTCACACCCACGCCTTCCCTGGGTCTTAGTCAGTGAGGGCCTCGTAGATCGCGCGTCCGACGTCCGCGCGTCGCTTCGCGAGGATGCGGGACTTGGACGAGCAGCCGGAGGCGCGGCCGTCACGTTGTTTTTCTTCTTTCTTTGCCAGTGCAAAGCTCAGGAGGATTTGGTGGCGGTGATGAGGACACATTCCGAGGGGTGCTCCAGCGGGAAAGCCCATGTCGTGAAGTGAATGGCATCCTAGTATATGGAAACAAAGGGCCAATACCCACATGTCTCGAAGCCAATCCCCAAGATATGTTCAATCCCTGCAAGAAGATGAAGGCTCGCGCCAGGACAGCGTTTGCTTGCCATGATCTCAATGGTGACGGCGTGACCTGGCCAAACATGCTCCTAGCGCCAGGCTTGCCAATGCTCGATGGTCCAAGGTCCTGGACCGCTCTGAGTTCTTCAGCATGCTGCACAAAGTTGACGATTCGCTTCTTGGCTTGCTTGAGTGCTTTGCATCCACCGAGACGGCCAAGCTCAAGGTTTTTCACGCCCCATGTGGTCGACATCCTGCTGAAGGAGGAGCGATCGCAGCCGGCAAATGCTTGGTAACGCTTGCTGAGAACAGGCTGATGCTGATCAAGATGGGAAGATTTACTATCACGAGTTCGTGCGATGGATTTGTCAGGCCGGATGCATAGACCGGGCACTTGCTTGCAACACCGAGTATCTAGTACACCGCGTCTTGAGGAGGATGAAGAAATTGTGAAGAGAGTCTTGCACTAATTCGACTTGAGCTAAGCTCTGCAAGCAGAGAGAGAGAGGGAGAGAGAGCGTGGCGAGCCCCGGTTGGCCAAAGTAGCAACGGCACAGCTCTCAGACTCTCCTTCGATTCGGTCCACTCGATGCATTCTCCCGCCCGAGGCGGGAGTGAGCCAGAAAAGAGCGTGCCAGATGCCTCGCGGCTGAGAGAAACGCGGCCAACAGCGGGCACCAGAGCACCGACAGAGCACTAGAGCACCGACAGAGCACCGACAGCTCAAGCTTTGGGCCATGGCATCGCCTGCAGAAGAACGATGCCAGGCTGAAAGGGGGCCTGGGGGGCCTTAAGGGGTTCTATGGGGTTCTTCGGAATTTCGGAATCCTTCCTCGTGAGGTTCTTCATTATGCTGCAGGCCGATGGAAGTGAACAGGACAATGGCACATCCGATCTTGTCAGGGGCTGGTCGCGCGGACATAATCTCCCTTGCAATTGAACAGGAGCTGATGGCAATTTCAACCGTACCTGTTCAATTTATTTCAATTTGATCTCGAGCTTGGCAGGAGATTGCCATGCCTGCTCGCTTGCGACTGGATTCGGGCTCTTGAAGCCGCGAAAGCTGCCAGGCTGATGAAGCAGGAGACGTGCGTATTCCGAACAGCTCACTTTCATGCGCTGTGAAGGGTGTGCGAGGTACTGCGCTTGCTGTCTTCCCAAGCCGAGAAAGTTCCTTGACAGCTCAGCTTGATCTGTTTTGCTGGGCAATGCTGGGCAAGTTGATCGGTTTTTCCCACGTCACTGAGGGCACTGCGCTGCACGAGGTTCGGGATTCAGAGGGTCGCCAGTTCGGTTTCGGTTCACTTTCAGGCCTGCCGTTGCGGGCACGTGGACGTGGCCCGGGCCACAAGGAGAGCAAGGAGAGCAAGGAGAGCAAGGAGAGCAAGGAGAGCAAGGAAAGCGAGAAAGAGGGAAAGAGGGAAAGAAAAGAGAGCAAGGAAAAAGCGGAAAGCAAAGGTGCGGCTGCTGCTCCTTCGCCCGAAGCCTCAGCTTTGGGTCCCTCGGGGTCCCCGCGCACGCCAGGCGGGGCGCCCCCGGAGCTCCCGGACGCCGCCGGCCGAGCCGCCTTCGAGGCGTGCGGAATCCGACGGAATCCGACGGAATCGCCCGGAGCTCTCGTAGCTGTCTCAGGTCGCCAAGGCGGAGTGCCCGCCCGCCAGGAGACGAAAGAGAGTTCCGTTTCGACGACGCTCGAGTTCTGTTTCAGGCTGGGCCCCGTGCGCGCGGCCTTCGAAGCCGAGCTCTTCAAGCGCTGCGCCTCTGGTGACACCGCCACACCCACAGACCGCACTCAACGTAGCATCGTATAAGCATGTGCATACGTGTGCGCAAAAAAAGCCGCACAATGGCTAACTAACTGTCGAGCCTGCTTGCATCATTTTTTGGATGGCGGTTTTTGGCACACTGCCAACGAGTTTGACCCACTTACAGCCTCAAACAATACACTAATATTGTCTTACCGCATGGAACAAGTGGTTCTCAGCCCTTTTTGGAAGGCATCCAAAGTGTCAAAGCTCCCAGGAACCTAGAACCAAGATTGCACAGGCTTGAAGGAGGCTCACGTTCTTTTTGTTGTTCATGATGGTTTCAAAATGGAAATCATCCTTGAAGCTATCAGGGTGGTGGATCCAAGCTGCTCACACATGATGAGCCGGCGCAAACCAGAAATGACCAACAGCACGAATCGCTGCTATCGACCCTCACCCACACGTGTGGTGGCTAGCAGTTCGCCTAGCGTGAGTTTAAAGTGCGACGTGTTCTTTATGCAGCGTGCCTAGCGTGCCTTGCTCCCGGGGACTCTGGAGGACATCGTGTGTTTCTGAGACTAAGACCTGGAGCCCAGCGTGCAGGGATCAGAAAGGAGTCAGACAATACGATCTGGTGATAATTCTCCTGTGTTGGTAGATGCTCTTGGACGTTTGATTGCGGCGTCCCGCGAATGCAGAGGCTCTTGGACGTTTGATTTTACGTGGTCAAGAGATCATCCGCAGGAGGTCATCGATTTGCACGGGCAGGCGTACAGAGACGAATCAGTCCAGGCGACACCTGAAGTTGAACCACCATTACCATCCTTTACCAATCTTGCGTTGTTGATGTCTGGCCCGTCGTGTGCGTCGTGTGGCTGCTGGTGTGAGCGCTGGCTGTTCGATGCTCGCTTTCAGTCTCCTGCTCTGGGCCAGCAATCTCCACGACGTACTTCGTACTTCTCATGTGGCGAAACTTGTCCTGCGGCTGTGGTGTGTGGTGCTGCTGTGGTGGCTGAACCTTGTGCTGTTGGTGTTTTTCTGTTTTTCCACCTTGTGCCTGGGTGCGTGGGTTGTGTTGAATCACTTGTTGTGTGACCTTCTGTGGAGGCTGTGTCTTTGTTGCCAGCTGTTGCTGCGATGTCTCTGGAAATGTTGTACCTTTCCTGAGCTTTTTCTCCTTTCCACATTTGTTGCTGTGCTCTGTGTGGGTTTTCAATTGTTCGGTGTTTCTCGGCAAACGTGCTGGGTGTGCCAGCCTTGAGTCTGACGGTTTTGCTTCTGTAGCCCTCAAGTTGTTCTGTTGGGACAGGACACTGTGTTCTTGATTGAATTGCTAGAAGCCACCTGCGTGTCCTCTACAGTGACACGGTGCGAGCGGTGTAGTAGGAGCTATCACGCCGATCTGACCTAGCTGTGTGCTATGTGTGTGTAACATTGTGCCTTTTGGTTTTGCGACGATCTTTGCTTGCCATCTCCGTTCTCAAGTGTGCTGTGAAATCTGTTGTCGTGGGTTCTTGCCCAGTGCAAGTTCGAACCCTTGTTTCACCGGCCGAGTGGCTGCTTAATTTGACAAAAGTAGGACCGTGTCACAATTATGGTTTGTTTTCCACTGTGGTTTGTCACGCAAACCCATCAGCGCCCGTGAAGCTTGATGTGTTGGTTGGTCGCTGTTCTGAAACCATGGTGGGCATTTATTCACGGCGGTTGTTACCTCTTGTGCTGCTAATGGACCTGCTGGTTGTGGCAATTGCTGTCGTAGTGTGCATAATTGGGCTAGTCGTCCGCCTGGTCCTTGGTGTCAAAGTTGCCAGTGCCGCAATTGTAAGTCGCTACTCTGCATTGCTTGGCCATGTGTCCTGGCTGTCCGCATCTGTAGAAATCTCCGTGATGATTGTTATCGCGCGCGTTTCCTTGTCTTTCGCTGCTGTATCCTTGTCCTTGTCCTCTGCCATATCCATGTTGTCCGTTGAATGGATTTCCTTGTGCAATTGGTTGGTTGTACTGGTTTCCTTTTCCTCCTTTGTAGTGGTTGTAGTGGCGGTTGTTCCCGTAGCCGCCGTAGCCTTTGCCCTTGTCGTGCTTTGCTTCGCTCTTGTGTTTTCCTTTCTTGCGTTTGCCTATGTTGTACCATGTCGCGCCTACGTCCATTGGCGCTGGCTCTTGATTGTTGTTGCTGCTTGACGCGGGTGCGTGTTGAATGATGGTGCTGCCCTGTGATACTCTATAACCAGGGATCTGATCTGTGCACATGTTGTGACGTGCGCTGCTTGCAGCTGTAGATGTTTACAAAGTGCTTACTTTGTCTCGTTGAGCAGTGTTGCGACGTTAACAGCATCTGTGTTTGTGCTTGGCGAGTTGGAATTCTCATGTTGTAAAGCTTTGAATGAATTCCTGCTCGTCGAGCTGTGGTTCGAGTAACCTTGTGCCCAACGCTTCTTGTATCAAGTGGGATGGAGTATCTGAGGCGTAGTAGCCGCCATGTTTCAAATCCGTTGCGTTCCATGTTTGGTCTGCAAATTGTTGATGCTGGTCCATCACATGTGCTCAGCAAGATATAGTGTAAGTTGTTGGTGAGTTATATTAAGTTATACTCACTGTTCTGCTACTGCTTGTGTGTGTGTGATTGCTCTGGCTGTCTTAGCAGTCTGTTGCATGCTGAATCTTGTGGTTCACGGTATGCTGTCATCTTGTACTTGCATTCTCCAACCGTGTTGTTTCCCTGTGAAGCGTGGTGGTCCTATCTTGCTTGTGTATTGCTTCCAGCTGCTGCGGTTGCTGTTGCTGTTGGGCTGCCATTCCTTGTGTTGTGCATGGAACGGCCACCACATCTTTCCCAGGCGTGTAACTGTTCATCGCTACCGTATTAGACTGCGCAACTGTTGTCTCAAGTATGAACCTATGTGTGACGGCGCGACACTGTTGTGATGCACAGGCCCAAAGCCTTGATGTAAGCATGGCAAGGAAGGGCGACGTGTGTAACCAACTGTGAAAGACTCTTTGCGTATTAACACCATCGAGTGCGCATGTATATGTTGAAGTATATATATAAAAAATGTATATAGCGATGTTAAACTCAATGTTGTGAATCTAGAGCCTGTTGACCTGCAGTGTTGGACCTGTGATGTGAACGACACGGCACAGTTGTAATCTTTTGTACTGCGGGCATGGGCCCGGCTCAAGGCCTTGTACCGACATGCAACGGTCGTCGCATGTAGTCGATCTGTACAAGACTGTTATGTATTTAACCCCCATCCTCAAATTGTGCTATGTTAGCTTTGCCAAAATGTACAAATGTCCTTGTGGATCGGAATGATGTAAGAAACCACTGCATGAAAACTGATAGCCAGAAAGCAGATGTACTGTACATCGATGTCCCTTGCTGTCGGATCAATTGTACCACGAGTTGCGGTGTGCCATTGTGGCAACTTGGTGTACTCAAGCGCTGCCGTCCATGACCTTCTGTTTGTTGAGCAGCTTGTATCCTTGATGTTGTGACAAAATCATGGCGCTGTCAATCTCCTGCAAGCGTTGGTCGCTGTACCCAATCTGACCGGGGATCAGGTCCGTGCTGTTTCCCATCAGCTGGATTCCATGTTGGACAATGTGCTCGTTGACCACTTCAAAGGCTCCGAGATGGTCTGTGCTGCAGGATATGTATGAATCCTTTGTTTTCAGTACCTTCTCGACAGGGATAATGATGTGCTGAAGGATGATGTAGTCCTTGGTCAAATTGTAATTCTTGTACAGGTTGCTGATGTGCCCTGTAAGCTTGTAGAATCCCAGACGCCCGTTCTGTAGGTGTCAGGTCCCATGTACACTCCTTGTGCAGCTGTAAGACCTGTGCGATGTACCCGCGGTTGAAAACTGCAATCCTCTTCTCATAGACCTTCTGAGACAGTTCTGCTGTCTGCAGGCTGAGCTTGTACACAAAGAATGTGCCCAAGTCAACTGTACTGTCATGGCCCTTGTGTATCAACCAGCTGATTCAGCCAACGCAATCCATGATGCTGTGCAACATACCGACGAAACCCAATGTGGGGCATCGCATGTAGCCCGGGATCTTTTGTAACTGATTCTGCTCCGTTGTAACAGTTGTCGTCATGAAGTTGTACTGTTCCACTGTAAGTGGGATCAACACCGTAGTGTAGTCCTGAGGTTCCTCCGGTGTAGTCGGAACGATGACGTCCGCCGGTTCCAATGTAAACCATCATCTGTGGATGCAAGGTCTTTTTGTGCGCAATGTGCCATTGATATAAACGCCGAGTGTCTAAGGCGAGTGTAGACCTCAAATGTAAATGGCTGCAGCGTGTACTGAAGCATTGTCAGAAACATGTACAGAATGTCATGCAAAAGATGTAAAAGGGGGTTGTAGAGGCTTCAGGGTTGATCCATGGCTGCGTCTAACCTAAAGCTAAAAGAGCATGCGCCGGCCGTTTGGTAGTAAAACAAACATGTGTGAACTGTGCGCCTGTTGTTTAACAACCTGTGCTGACTACTGTACTCACTGGTGTGAAACTGTTGTGGTGTGGCCTCACAGGCCAACGTTGCACAAGTGCTTGTTGAGGGTGTCACAGCTGACAAACTTTGTTAGCGAGTCAGCTGGGTTGTCTTGTTTTTTTTTTTTTATCTTGTGCATTGTGATGATTTTGCTTTTGACGAGTTGTTGTATGAAGAGGTGTCGCAGTTCGATGTGTTTTGCTTTCTTTGATGTACCTTCTCTCATTGCTATGGATTTTGCTGAGCTGCTGTCTGTGTGTATCCTGATGTTGGTGCGTACCTCAAATGCTTCCTTGATGAAATTGCTGATGTAGAGGCTCTCCTATGCTTCTGTGCCAATCGCGCACAGCTCTGATTCTGCTGATGAAAGTGCTATTGTTGCCTGTGTTCTGCTACCAGAATGTACTGCTGCTCCAAAGAAGCACAGCACAAATCCTGTTGTGCTTTTCCTTGTTGTCTCACATGATGCCCAGTTGGCATCTGTGTATGTGTCAATGTTGAGTGGAATTCGTTTGTCCTGTGTTTGTATCCTTGGTCGCAAGTTGTGTCGCGAGTACCTTGTTCCTTTAAGGTACCTGATCATGTGCTTGAGCTTCTTGTTGCCAAGTTGTGTTGGTGCTTGTAGTGATCTTGCTAGCTCCGGTGCTCCATAGCTTATTTTGCCAACACGCCGCTGTATTTCTTGTGTTGTTCTTGATCTAGTGGTGCTTCATCTTCTGCTGTACCTTTCATGTGTGGTACTCCTGGTGATGGTGATGGGTTGCATGTAGTCATTCCCGATTCTTCCAGAATGATGTCAACATAGTTGTTGTTCAAGCTGATGTCAATGTGGTCGCCTTTGTGTGAAATGTTCGTGCCAAGGTCCCAACTGTCAGGTTGCCTGTGTGTCTCAGCAGAACTTCCTTTTGTGTCCTGCTGAAGAGCGTGTTGATGATGTTCTGTACTCCTATGAAAAGGAGATCGTCGACATAGATCATGATGTAGACCTGACAGTCTTTTGATCTGTAAACATTGCTTTCTGCTATACATCTCACAAGTCCAAGTGTGACTGTGAGAATGTGTGCTATGTGGTCTTGCCATTGTTTTGGTGCTGATCGTTCGCCATAAATGGCTTTGTTCAGCCGCCACATTATGTGTCTGTTTTCATCATTGTAGAACTCATGTGGCGGTCGCCTTACCAGGTTGTAGGAGATTGCTTCCGCATGTAAAAATGCAACACTGACATCTCCTGTGCTGACCGACCAGTACACCAATGCCATTGCGAGGGGTATCCTCAGTATGCAAAACAATGGTGTACTTGCAACAAGAGATCGTGGTCTGTAACGGGTTCTGTGTGGCCCTTTGCTACTATGCGTGCTCGCACTTCGTTGTGTTTCTGTTTGAGAGCCCATGTAGACTCGATGATGTTTGCATGTTGTTCGGGTGTCATCATGTTGCCATCAATCTCTGTAAAGACTGATTGATCTTTCATTTGTTGTACTTCCTTCTTCATTCCTTGTGCTACCTGTTGGGGATCCAAGTCTTCTGTGTCATGTAGGATTGGCTCTAGTAGGATCCTTTCATTGTTGATTTCTTCTGCATCTTCATTGGATGTTGTTTGCATTTGTTTACCATCCTTTGTTGTGAACTCGATGGCGTTTATCCTCATCTTGCTCTTTGGTTGTTCTGATGTCGCTCAAGTGCTTGTCTTTCTGCTGTGGTACGCTGTTGCTTGCCTGTACTGCCTTCTGCTATTGTGTCATCTCTTTCTCTTGTGGGTGATGTAGGCGGTGGTGCTGGCAGTGCTGGTCACTTCTGGTGTGTTGGTGATGTAGCCAGGGGAGATGTTGTCTCTGTTGTTCTCTTCTGCTTTGTTGGCTGATCGCCTGCTTCTGTTGCGCTCTGTCTCTTGCCTTCTGCTGCTGTGCTAGTTGCTGTACCCGTGAAGCTTGATGTGCTGGTTGGTACAACTGCGAACTGTGCCATGTGCTAGTTGGTGTAGTGGAAATTGTGGCGGGCATACATGTGTAGCCGCGCCGCTGTCAATCATGAGGCTGACCCATGTTGTTGTCGTAGTGTGCCTGGTTGTACTAGTCATCTATCTGGTCATTGGTGTCAACAGTTCCTGTGTCACAGTTGTAGATCGCCACTCCGCATTGTTTGGCCATGTGTCCTGGTTGTCCACATCTGTAGCAAGCATGTGTTGCTTGTTTTCCTGTTGCTCCTTTTCCTCCTTGTTGGTTGTTGTAGTATCCTTTGCCTTTTCCTTTGCTGCTGTATCCTTCTCCTTTGCCATATCCATGTTGTCCTTTGGATGGATTTCCTTGTCCAACCGGTTGTTGATTGTACTTCCCTTTTCCTCCTTTGTAGTTGTTGTGGCTGTAGGTGTTCCCGTAGTTGCCGTAGCCTTTGCCTTTGTTGTACTTTCCTTTGCCCTTGTGCTTTCCCTTCTTTCCTTTTCCTTTGCTCCTATGTCCATCGGTGCCGGTCCTTGATTGTTGTTGCCTGATGTGATTGCTTGTAGCCTGGTGAATGATGCTGTTGCTCTGTAAACCTCGATCACCATTGATCTGATCTGTGCATATGTTGTGATGTTTCCTGCTTGAAGTTGTAGATGTTGCTGTAGTGGTCATTTTGTCTCGTTGAGCAGTATTGCAATCTTGACTGCGCTTGGTAGTAGTGTGTTGTTGTCTTGTTCGTACCTGGAGAGTTGAAACTCCCATGTTGTGAAGCTCTCCTGGAACTTCTGTTCATCAAGTTGTGGTTTGAGTAACCTTGTTAGGTACCCAATGCTTCCTGTGCCAAGTGGTATAGAGTATCTTGCATGTATCAGCCGCCATGTTTCAAATCGGTTGCCTTGCAGGTTTTGCCTGCCAATTGTAGACGCTGGTCCATCGCATGTGCTCACCAAGAGGTAGTATAGATTGTTTCTCAGTTGTACCCATTGCTCTGCTACTGCTTGTGAAGGTGCTGCGTTCTCAAGCTGGTCGTTTGTAACTTGTCCTGTTGCTTGCTCTGACTATGTCAACAGTCTGTTGTATGCTGGGTCTTGTAATCCCAAGTATGTTGTCATCTTGTACTTCCAAGTGTTGTATTCTCCTGTGAACCGTGGTGGTGATATCTTGTATCTGTGGATTCCTTCCAGCTGCTGTTCCTGTTGCTGTTGTGCCGCCATGTTACTCACTACTGTGTACTTGAACCTGTGGGTGTGTGTAGGAGCTCACCCTGGTTGTGGTCGAGGATCGTGTGCCAGGGATCACTGCTCCGCTACCATGTTAAACTCAATGTTGTGAATGTAGAACCTGTTGACCTGAAGTGTTGGACCCGTGATGTGAACGACGCACTGGGGGCATGGGCTAGGCTCAAGGCCTTGTACCGACATGTAACGGTCGTTACATGTAGGCGAGCTGTTCACGACTGCTATGTGTTCAACAGACGACGGGGACACAGTTGGAGACAGTCCAAGAGCCCAGTTTGTCTGCATCAATCCCGGGACGCATTCTGCGCTCGCCAGACCCAATGGGACCCAACAAAGTAACAGGGTGGCGTCTGAATTTCGGCGGACGTCCCCAGCTTCCGTGGCTCTGAGGTCGGTGCTGAGGCATTAGCTCGAGGCGGCTTGGAGTTGAACTGCACGCAGGCACGTCCGGACATCCGACGCAATCATTGAAAATCCGCATGCGCAATCTAGATCTTGCTTTCGCGTGCCCGGTATTATGTACCCGACTGCAGCTGCTTCACACATTGGCATGTGGCAAGACTGTGCTCACCTGACTCTACTCACTTGCGAAATGCCGCGCAACGCATGAGGCAGCCATGGTTATCTCGTCGGCGCTGCTTAGACTGAGCGTTCCGAGCCTTTTGAGCCTTTTACCATGGCCGTCACACGCTTTGGTTAGCATCGGTGGCGCTGGAGCATCTCGGATCTTCGTGGGAAGCGAAAGCGATGCTGCCGAGCTGCGAGATGCCAATATCGGAGCTGTGGTGGAAATCGCTGGAAGTCCCTTGGCACTTTGGGACTTTGGCACTTTGAGACTTTGGCACTTTGGCACTTCAGCACAAGGCGACTTGTTTCTTTTCTCTTCGGAGGCAAGCCTTTGATGATCATCGACAGGCCTGATGGCTTGCGAGGTGCCCGCGTTTCTGCGCAGCATTGGGACACCTCGCTTCAGGACTCCGCTTGCGCCCAAATGTTGTCAAGCCTTCGAGTTCAAACCAGACAGGATGGATCAAGAAATCCAGTCCTGCTCTCCTCTGGGCCCAGTATTTGGGTTTTGTGGTCCCTCTGCCAACCCTCAAGCCAGCCCCAGTCGCATTGTAAATCCAGTACTTGGGGGGATCAGTAGCGCTGTTGCTTTGATTGGGCGCTGGTACGCACTAAGCCAAGTCGAAAAATCAACCCTTAACCAAACCTACCAATCCTTCGACCGCAAAGCTACCGTGAGTTGTTCAGGGCCGATTTCAGGGTAGGATAGCTACGGGAACCTTTTTGCAACACCTGCGCCTCAGCACACTACACTCCCCGGGTTCAGTTCCCGGTTCCAACATTGGAAAGGCGCAGCCGTCGGGGAACTCTTCGCTCGTATGTGTAAGGGGCAGGACTGTTACAAGTTAGGTTCCGCGCATGCAAGAGCTTAGAGTCCATAGAGTACAACGGCAAGGAGGCTTTGGGCTTCGTTCGAAAAGAGATGGCGCACGGCACTAGCGTGCTGCTGAGTTGGACGGAGTTGCATTGTGAGAGTGGCGCTGCCGGAGCTGCGATCGCCATCGCAGCGGTCATGGCTGACCCTTGAGCTCGAACCTTTCGACGTATCGAACTCGAACACATCGAAATCATGTTTGTCTGAAGTGAACATGTCAACGTTGCCCACGTTACTCAGTTCATCGGACATGTGCGTGTCCTTGCCGCGAGATAATCTGTGCTGAGGAAGATGAAGTGAAGTTTGATGAAGCGGTGAAGCGAGTGGGAGGTTTGCATCATTGCACTGCCCAGCTACAGACGAGTGACATCCTCCAACGACTATCGAAGATAGTGCACAAGGAGCTTTGACGCGCCGTGTGCTTCACTTCTGTTTCACCTGTTGGAGAGACGATGCAGAAAGGAAAGCGTATGGGCATGGCGAGCTGGTGCTGAACTGTTACGCGTCCTGTCCTTTCCTCTCCATTTCCTTTCCTTTTCTATCCTTTCTTCTTCTTCCTTTCCTTCTCCCTTCTTCCCTTTTCTCCCCTTTCATTTCTTTGCGTTTTCTTTCCTATGCCTGCTTGTCCTCTCTTTCCTCTCCGCTCCTTTCCGTCCTTTCCGTTCCTTGCCTTTCCTCTTCTTCCATAATAGCATAACTTTACGAAGTCTTTGTGAAGTCTTTCCTTGTGAAGTCTTTCCTTTCCTCTTCTCTCCATTGTTCTTCGTTCCTTTCCTTTCATTCCCTGACCCTTCGTCTCCTTTCCTCTCCTTTCCTCTCCTTTCCTATCCTCTCCTCTCCTTTCCTATCCTTCCTCTCCTTTCCTCTCCTTTCCTCTCCTTTCCTCTCCTTTCCTGTCTTTTCCTGTCTTTTCCTCTTCTTTTCTCTCTTCTTTTCTCTTCTTTCCTTTCCTCCCATTCCTCTTCCTGCCTGTCCTTTGTGTTCGGCCACTGTCCTTTCTAAACATTTCTTTGTTGCTTTTTCCATTTTCCGTTTCTTTGCTATCCATTTTGCTTTTTCCTTATCTTCATTCCCTTCATATTGTATGCTCTCCTGCATTTCCTCGTCTCTTCCTGTATGCTTCTCCTTCCTTTCTATTCCCATTCTTCATTGGTCTCCTTGTCGTTTTCCTTACTATTTCCTCTATTTGTCCTTTCCTCAACCAAAGCGCAGAGCTGTTGGACCTTGCCGTTGATCTCCACTGACCTGGCTTTGCTCAAAGCTTTTGTAAGATCCAGCTGTCATATCCAGGTATCGTGAAAGGTTGGCATTGGGTAAGCTTCGTTGTCTTGTTTGAGAAGTTGCACTTTGGATGAGCGATGCAGTCACCCCAACTTTTGGACTTACCACCTGCCAGTCCTGACTATTTGAAAAGCCGGAAATTTGGTTCCCTGTCCTTGCTGTGCTTACTTTCCATTCCATGCCTTCTCTTCCCTTCTCCTCTTTTCTCCTTTCTTCTCCTCTTTCTCTCTTGTCAGCTTCCCCATTATCTCCTTATTTCTCAGTTTATGTTTGTTCCTTGTCTTCTTCTTAGCATTGATTTGGTTTCGCAGGCAGGGTACACGCCCTGGGCCTGGGCTGCGCTCTTCGACGCCGCTGCAACAGCTCAGCGCATGGAGGACTGGAATTCGAACGGTTCGAACGGGGCATTTCGGGACTTCCATGGCGACGCAAAAGAGAAAAGAGGAGCAAGCAACTGTGGAAAAACGATGTCATGAATCAGGATCATTACATATGGGTCGAATGGGAAGCAACATAAGTACACAGCAACCAAGGCAAAGATAATGACCATGAGCGCACCACCCAAATGACTAGGCAAGCAACGCGATGAAGGCAAAACAAATGGGGGCGGACCGAATGGGAAAGAACAACAAGAAAGCCGAACGAAGGCAACAGGAGGCCACTGACCTTTGTGACGGCCCCCCCCCGTGCTGCCCGCGCGGCGCCGTGCTCGCTGCCAATGTGCACCGGACCTTGCCCCAGCACAGCAGCGCCTAAGCTGTTTTGCGCATAAGATATTTGAGAGTGCACCGGCGCCTAGGTGTGGTTGTGAGGGTCAGGCGGTTTGTTCTAAATTTCGGAGAAACACCTCCGACAAGTCGCCCGACAAGTCGCCCACGCCGGCAAACAATGCCCCTGGCACAGCCACCCGCATGCTGCAATTTCGCCTGAACCCAAACGAGAACTCAGCAATCAGATATGTTTTTAGCAAGATGTTCATGGAAGAGCAAGAGGGGCCTGCAACAGAGCACTGTATTCTTTGTTCACAAGCGAAGACATTGGCTTTTGGAAGCGCATCCACTAGAGGACATGGCTGAAGGGAAAGTGGACCTGGAGCCTCAGAGCTTTGAAGGCCAGGTGCGTTCGCATTATTTACAACACTCTTGTACAGCTTGCATGCGTGTGGCAACCGCTACATGTTCGGGAGAAGGCCTTGAGCCTAGCTCTTGCCTCAGACACAAAGAGTGCTACAGTGCCGAGTCGTTCACTCACAGGTTCACACAAGTTCAGATTTACTTTAACACACAGGCATTTATTTATATTCATATATATATATTGTTAATATACATCCACTCTTGTGCATGTTCACACACTTCCAGGTTGCTAGGTAGATACACAGTCAGTCCCACTTTAACATGGTGAGCGGAGCAGTGGTCCCTGGCACACGATCCTTGACCACTACCCAGGTGAGCTCCAACACGCACCCACAGGTTCAGGTACACAGTAGTGAGCAACATGGCGGCGCAACAACAACAGCAACAGCAACAGGAGCAGCAGCTGCAAGGAATCCAGAAACACAAGATATCACCACCACGGTTCACAGGAGAATACAACGCCTTCGAAGAATGGAAATACAAGATGACATCACACCTAGGACTACAAGACCCCGCATACAACAGACTGCTGAGACAGTGAGAGCAATCAACAGTTCACAAACGACCAACTGGAGAATGCAGCACCTTCACAACAAACGGCAGAACAATGGATGCAGCTGAGCAACAACTTGCTCTACATCTTGGTGAGCACATGCGACGGACCAGCGTCTACAACACGCAGACAAAACATGCAAGGCGACGGTTTCGAGACATGGAGACTGATCCATGCCAGGTACAAGAAGCACAAGAAGCGTTGGGTACCTTACACGGCTACTAAAACCACAACTGGATGAACAGAAGTTTCAACAGAGCTTCACAACATGAAAATTCTAACTCTCCAATTACGATCAAGATAACAACACACTACTACCAGATGGGGTCAAGATTGCAGTACTGCTCAATGAAGCAAAAGGACCACTACAGCAACATCTCCAGCTGCAAGCAGGAAACACCACATCATATGCACAGATCAGACCGATGGTGATCGAGTACTACAGAGCAACAGCGTCATTCCCAGGCTGCAAGCAATTACATCAGGCAACAACAGCCAAGGACCGGCGCCGATGGACGTAGGAGCAACATGGCACAACAAAGGCAAAGGAAAGAAGGGCAAGCGCAAGGGCAAAGGAAAGCGCAACACGGGCAAAGGGTACAACAGCGACGGGAACAACTACGGCTACAACAACTAGAAAGGAGGAAAAGGCAAGCACAAGCGACAACCGGTTGGACAAGGAAACCCTTTCAAGGGACAACAAGGATATGTCAAAGTACAGATGTGGACAGCTAGCCAAACAATGCAGAGTGGCGATCTACAACTGCGACGCTCAAACTTTCGATGCCAATGACCAGACAGATGACTGGTACAATCAGGCACACTACGACAACAACTGGTTAATCACGAGGACCAGACACAGGTGCATCAGCTCACCACAACCACCACAGACAGCAGATCCTTCAACTCTTCCCATCTCAGGATTACATGAAGTAACCATCGCCACGATTGGCGCAACACAACAACTCGCAGAGGACAACAAGAGAGTCAACCTTATGATTGACAGCGGTGCGGCTACACATGTATGTCCACCATGGTTTGCGCCACAATTCCCACTACACCACCTGGAACATGGAACAGGAACGCAACGCAGAGCTTTGACCAGCCAACGCATCAAGCTTTTCGGGTACAGATGGTGCGTGACAAATCACAGCGGACAACAAATTGTCATACCATTTTATGTTTGTGAGGTTAAACAGCCGACTCTTTCAGTTACCAGTAGAGCCGGCGAAGCCGGTGGGCGGAAGTTTCAAAAATATAGAAACTATAGCTCTCTTTCTCTTTCTTTTCTTAACTCTTTTTCTCTTCTTCTTCCTTTTCATTGTTTCTTTTTTCTCAGTCATTCTTCCTTTCTTCTTTTCTTTCCTTCCTTCCTCCCGACGTTCCATCAGACAAAAATCTTTTTTCTTTCTTTTCTGTCTCTCTCTCTGTCTCGATCTCTGTTTCTATCTATCTCTCTATCTATCTCTCTATCTGTCCATGGATCTATCTACTTATCTATTTGTTCATGTACCTATCTAGCTATCTCTTTCTCTCTATCTATCTATCTGTCTATCTATCTATCTCTTTCTCTATCTCTCTGTCTATCTATCTATCTCTCTCTCTCTCTATCTATCTATCTATCTATCTCTTTCTCTATCTATCTATCTACCTATCTATCTATCTCTCTCTCTTTATCTATCTATCTATCTATCTATCTATCTATCTATCTATCTATCTATCTATGTGTCTCTTTCTCTATCTATCTATCTGTCTATCTATCTATTTATCTATGTATCTATCTCTCTATTTTCTTTCGCACGTAAAAAGTTGCGATTTTCGTGCCCAGCTGCGGAAGTGGACTTCACGTACTACTTTCGTATTTTTCAAAAATTGCGATTTTGGAGCCCCAGCTGCAAAGTTGACTTCGCGTGCGACTTTCGTACTTAAAAGTTGCGATTCTCGAGCCCCAGCTGCGGAAGTGGACTTCACGTACTACTTTCGTACTTGAAAGTTGCGATTTTGGAGCCAGCTGCGAGAGTTCGCGTACTACTTTCGTACTTAAAAGTTGCGATTTCGAGCCCCGGCAGCGAAAGTAGACTTCGCGTACTACTCTCGTACTGAAAAGTTGCGATTTTCGAGCTCCAGCTGCGAAAATGGACTTCGCGTACTACTTTCGTACTTAAAAGCTGCGATTTTCAAGCCCCGGCTTGGAAAGTCGACTTCGCGTATTACTTTCGTACTTAAAAGTTGCGATTTTGGAGCCCCAGCTGCGGAAGTGGACTTCACGTACTACTTTCTACTTGAAAGTTGCGATTTTGGAGCCAGCTGAGAGAGTTCGCGTATTACTTTCGTACTTAAAAGTTGCGATTTCGAGCCCCGGCAGCGAAAGTGGACTTCGCGTACTACTTTCGTACTGAAAAGTTGCGATTTTCGAGCTCCAGCTGCGAAAATGGACTTCGCGTACTACTTTCGTACTTAAAAGCTGCGATTTTCAAGCCCCGGCTTGGAAAGTCGACTTCGCGTACTACTTTCGTACCTAACGGTTGCGATTTTCGAGCCCCAGCTGCGGATGTGGACTTCACGTACTACTTTCGTACTTAAAAGTTGCGATTTTCGAGCCCCAGCTGCGAAAGTTGACTTCGCGTGCTACTTTCGTACTTAAAAGTTGCGATTTTCGAGTCCCTGCTTGGAAAGTGGACTTCGCGTACTACTTTCGTACTTAAAAGTTGCGATTTTCGAGCCCCAGCTGCGAAAGTGGACTTCACGTTAAAAGTTGCGATTTTCAAGCCCCGGCTTGGAAAGTGGACTTCGCGTACTACTTTCGTACCTAACGGTTGCGATTTTCGAGCCCAGCTGCGAAAGTGGACTTCGCGTACTACCCTCGTACTTAAAAGTTGCGATTTTCGAGCCCCAGCTGCGAAAGTTGACTTCACGTACTACTTTCGTCTATATATCTATCTATTTATCTTTCTGTTTATCTGTCTATCTACCTATCTATCTACTTATCCATCTATCTATCTATCTATCTATCTATTTCTTTTTTACTTATCTATCTCGTTAGTTTTTACTTTCTATCTAGTCTGTCTATCTATTTGTCTATCTGTCTATCTATCTATCTATCTCTCTCCCTCTTTTGATCTATCGATCGATCGATCTATATACTTATCTACTTATCTACCTATCTACTTCTTTATATATCTACCTATCTATCTACATATCCATCTATCTATCTATCTATCTGTCTACTTTCTATCTAGTTTGTTTATCTATTTATCCATCTATTTATCCACGTATCTGTCTATCTTTTTGCTTTCTATCTACTTTCTATTTAATCTACTTGTCTATCCATTTATCTACCTATCTATTTTTCTATCATATCTGTACATCTATCTATCTCTCTCTTTTGATCTATCGATCTATTTATCTATCTATTTATCAACTTATCTACTTCTTTATCTATCTATCTATCTATCCATCTATCTATCTATCTATGTACTTTCTATTTAATCTAATGCGTCGATCGATCTATCTATTTATCTATCTACCTATCTACTTCTTTATATCTATCTATCTATGTCTTTTTTATCTCTCTGTCTCTCTAATTATCTACTTTCTATCTAGTCTGTCTATCTATCTATCTATCTATTTATCTATCTATCCGTCTATCTATCTACTTTCTATCTACTTTCTATCTAATCTACTTATCTATCTATCTATCTACCTATCCATCTTTCTATCTATAGACTTATCTATCTATCTCTCTCTCTCTCTTTTGATCTATCGATCGATCTATTTATTTATCTATCTACCTATATACTTCTTTATCTATTTATCTAGCCATCCATCTATCTATCTATCTATATTTCTTTCTCTTTCTCTCTTTCTAACTATCTATTTTCTTTCTAATCTATCTATCTATTTACTTTCTATCTAATCTAATCTGTCGGTCTATCTATCTATCTATCTACCTATCTATCTATCTATCTCTTCTATCTGTACCCAAACTTGTGAAAGTGCTGCGCCTGCCACGAAATCTGTACTTGACCTTGCGAAAGTACTGCGCCTGCCGTGAAATCTGTACTTGACCTCGCGAAAGTGCTGCTCCTGCCACGCAATCTGTACTTGAGCTTTCGAAAGTGCTGCGCCTGCCACGCAATTCAAACCTTGCGAAAACTTGACCTTGCGAAAGTGCTGCGCCACGAAATCTGCACCTCGCCCTTCGAAAGTGCTGCGCCTGTCACGCAATTCAAACCTTGGGAAAAATTGACCTTGCGAAAGTGCTGCGCCTGCCACGAATTCTGCACCTGACCTTTCGAAAGTGCTGCGCCTGCCACGCAATTCAATCCTTGGGAAAACTTGACCTTGCGAAAGTGCCGTGCCTGCCACGAAATCTGCACCTCACCTTGCGAAAGTGCTGCGCCTGCCACGCAATTCAATCCTTGC